ATAGAGAGAAAGACAAACCGTAATTCTAAAGTAAAACCAAATCAAAGGCTTCAAGGACAGTCTCCTAACTATTGATAAAATCCAACTAAAGACAAACAGTTGGATCTATAAAATCTAAATAAAACAATATTTGCAATTTGAATATGCCAAGTAATTGAAAAGTTCATCACTTTATGTAAATGCATCTTTAAAAGTTAGAATCCTCACTAGCTGTTACAATATTAAAGTTTTAACAGCATAGTTCAAATGTTTGGCTTTTTAAACATGCTTCTGCATGAAAATACAATCAATATCAACTTCCCGGCCTTCACTGCCAAATTGGTGAGAACTGACTCCTCAAAAGGAGTCGTAGACCTCATGTTCAGCAGCCAGATCAAGCAAGCTTATTACATGAGACCTATTTCATTTGCAACTCTATATAATTTATGCTTTTACCAAAAGCAACAGGCTTGTTTGATAAGAGTACTGTCGTACTACAGTGACAGACCATGGTGCCTACTAACTATAGAACCATAGAAATATGCATGTTTGGAGTTCAGTACCTACAGGCTTTTTAACAGGAAGATCAAGTTGTGAGAGATTCTCATGATTAGTGAGCATACTTGGTAGCATTATAAAAAATTTCACTCAAGTTAGGCTTTGCAAAATTTGTTAGAAGTCTTAAGACTATGAGCTTCAATCCAAGCACACACTATGTGGCTCCAGTTGCTTGAGCTTTTATTATTATTTTTTCCTATATCTTCCTCATGTTTTTACTTCATCTTTAATTTTTCCTTTTTCATTTAATATTGAAAGAAATAAAAAGAAAGTGTGCGCCTACATATGATATTTGACATAAGTTTGGCCAGAAAAAAAAATTAGCAGTGAAGGCTTAAAATGATAGCAGTTTTCTCACTCAAACAGCTGCCACTACTATTCTGAAACTACGAGAAGCATTTTTCCTAATAAATTATGAGAGATTTCATTTGTTATAAGCTTATTCTATTAGTCCACTGAAATGGAAAACTAATGATAAATTTGCTGGTGTTCAAATGCATATGTTTTAAATGATAAAGTTATTATAGATATAACGAGCTAGTTTCTATACTTCAAAAGTATATAAAAAGAAAAGGAAATGTAACAAAAATGATAAACCCTAAATAGACTTTAACAGCTCAAATAAGTTCACCTTATGCTCTCAAACAAAACCAGAATTCCAACAAAATCTAAGTACATATATAAATAATTAAAGTCTACTAATTCTCGTTTTAAATGAATTTTATAGGAAGCACTAAGAAAACTTGAAAGTAAGTTCGATCATTGTGTTAACATGTCCCCTTAAATTACAGAAAATAATTTTAAAAATTTACTTCGAAACCCTAACCTTCTCGTTTTTGAAACGATTACGGACATTGCCTAGCTCTTTATCGATACGTAAACGCTCTTGATCTTTGTTCTGGCAATTTCGAACATCGCTTATAAAAACCGAGAGCCCTCTCATCCCATGCATCGTCATTACACTTCAATCGACCAGATCCACCTCTTCTTCCCGCTGGATCTGCCTCTCGATTTTCAGATCTTTCTATTTTTTGTCTATCAACAGAAACGGAGAAACCGATCCCGCATAAAGAAATCGATAAGTTTTCACAGGCGAAAATGAGGTGTGTAAAGTAAACCGAAAATTTCAAATTGAAGTAGAAATGATTTGAATCTAGAAGAGAAAAGAGACAATGAGAGAGATATAAGCATGCTCACGGGTTCAACCGGTCGAATCGATTTGATCGATCGAAAGAATCTGACGACATCATAATTATTTAAAAAATTAAATAAAAAATATTAAAAATATTTAGTAAAAAATAATTTTTTATATCACAAGTCATATTCAAAGCAAGTCATAACATATATAAATTAAAAATTATAAAATCAAATGAAACAAAATGATTTAAATTAATTACAACATAATATTTAAGGTAAAACGTATTAAATATAATTATATAACTATAATTAAAAAATAAATTTGAGGTTAAAAAATCATAACAAAATTATATTGTTTGATTTAATTTTTTTTAAAATTTCAAATGGTTAAGAAACATAGAAGAGCATCCAAAAGTCTAAAAAGTGAAAATATGAGAACAAAATAATCTCACATTGCTAAGAAACATATAAGAGCATCACAACTAATTTCTATAAATAATAGAGGTAATTTGACATTCAAAATCATGGAGCTTTTTGGTGAGCATTGAGTGAACTATTTTTTTACTTCAATTAAGTTCGAATTTTTAGGCTTCAATTAAGTTTCTAAAATTTTTTTAGTTCAAGTCTTTTTGAGTTCAAGTTTCAATATTATATTTTGAGTTCGAGTTGAATTTGATAATTTTTAACTTGTGAGTTTGAGTGGAGTTGAGCTTACTTTTAAAGTTTTCAAGTTTGAGTCGAGCTCAGCAATACTCGAATTCGATTTGGCTCATTTAACAAATGACGTTTGGTTTAATTTTTTATAAAATAAAATAAAATTTTCGATTTTTTCCGGTTTTCAGTCAGTCCGATTTGAACGGCTCAACGATTTTGGCCGATTCACTAATAACGATTCAACCAATTTAGATTGAACCGGACTAGACAACGATTCCTAGTTGAACCGACCGATCCGGTCCTATTTTCAAAACAATGGATATAAGGGAGACGATGGTGGAACAAATATTTGGAGAAAGCAAAGCAAGCCGTCGAGAAGAAAAGGTGCAGTATAGATACGACCTATTTTTTAACTCTTTTTAATTTAATTTAATTTTGTTTATTTGTTTTATGTTTTTATTTTATATTTTTTTAAATTTAAATTAAATGTACTAGTTAATAGGTCATCTGAGTTGACTTTTTTACATTTGCATTTAACTTAACCAAGAGGCTTACAGTTACAGCTAAGATGTGTGCAAGGTTTTCCCCCCCCCCGCTTACAATGAGGAATAGATTGTTACTGTATGGCTTTGAATCTCGGATATACTATCATTATAATTGAATTAAATGATAATATTATATTATTAAAGTTAAATGTAAAAGTAAATGTTTAAATTATATATTAATTTGATTTTAGGTGATTAAAAAAATTTACTTAATTTTTTTCGTTGAAAGTATATGTCTAATATTTTTTTCATTATACTTTTAAGTGTCTATATCGTAATTATAGTTAATAAAATTATCAATTGACATGTATTATGTTTATATTTTTTGAAATGTAAAAAAAATTAAAAAGAATTATTTTTTTCTCTAAAATACCAAAAAAAATCTATACTCCTAGAATTTTTAACTCCAAACTTCTATCACTGTGATCGACCTTCACCGCTGGTCGTCACCACTACAACCATTGCCCTTTCAAGTGGTGATAATAAATTGCAGTTTGGTAAATGATCTCCACTCCATCACCGTGCACCACCATCATCAGAAAAAATAAGTATTTGTTTAGATGGTGAAAAGAAATTTAGGCTTTTCCCAAGAAGCAGAAACAATTGGAATTGGGGGAATAGACAAAATGACATGATAAGGGTAAAACCCAAAACACAAAATTCAGTGCACAAGTGACAACTCAAAGAACTTGTATTAAAGCAGAAATATGAACTTCTATTTTCTAGTTGTTGAAGAGCATCGTAGCCAATGAAGGTTCCTTGTGGGTTGCATTGGTGAATATTTATATCATTGAAGGGGTCGATTTCTGAAACTTTGAGATTAGGGGATTCATGAGTTCCAGCTTAAGGAAAACTCTTTCTTTGCGGAGTGAGACCTATTCCCTCTTTATAGTTGCTAAGTTGAGGGTTGATGATACTCGTATGATTTGGTCCGAAATTAGGATTAAGGGGGCTAAAGTTCATTGACGTAAATTAACTGGATTCCCTTTGCATGTGCCTAAGCATGCAGTTATTACTTCGCTTGCTATACTGAATAGGCTTGCAACGAAAGATAACTGACACTGAATAGATTAAACTCTGTAAATTCAGCTGTGTATAGCATGAGGTATTGTTAATTAGCATATGTTTTCTTTGTAAGACACTCTTACTCTCTTTATAACAACTTACTGCTTTTTCATTGGATATATATAAAGCACACAGTTTATCCCAAAAAAAATCATTCTCAAATTGTATATATCCGCAAAGAGAAAAGAATATTATCAATAATAGCATTTTCTTATCAAGAGTATGAGAATTCTATTCAGCACATAAATATATTTGATCAAAAATATAATAGAATATTCATCACATATACTCGATCTTTTAAAATCCTGGTAGGTAAAGGTGTGCATATATTCGATTAAACCAAGCTAATTGTTTAAATTAAAATGATTTAATCATTTTTTTAATTTATTCTGTTTCATCGTTTAATCTAATTCAATTATTAATTTTAAATGCTCCAATCTAATATTTATTAATTATATGCGTATACCTTATTAATTTAAATTTAATACAAATTTGAATATTTAAATATCAGATTATTCAATTTATTCCTTCCTTTAATTTAATCAATTTGTATATATTTAATTTAACAACGATTATTTTTTTTTAATAAATAAACATATATTAAAGGCAAAAAAAATGCATAATTGATTTAATTAAGAAAAAGTCAATTCGTCAATCCAGTTTTGGGTTTAGGCTTTGCTTTCTATGAAAGGCAATTTATTAATCGGATGATTTAAATTCAAAATAAGAAAGCAATTATAATATTAATCATTTAATTAATAAATTTTCTATCATTCATACCAATAAAGCCTTAAGTTAAATTGATTTATTCATTTGCATGATTAAGTCAAAATTTTCGATTATTGATATATAAAAGCCAAAATGCACACCCCTACAATCATGATAAAATAATTGATATGTCCAAGTACTAAGAGGAGGGGGGGGGGAAACCAACCTAAACACGAACAGTGATACTGACCCTAATGCAGGGAATTCTCGTAAGTCCATCTAAAAAGGCTTGTGATGATCAAAAACCAAATTTAGAAAGAAAGGGAAAGCCTTCTCTCAATGGAAAATGTTTGAACAAGCCTATGCCATCAAATTCTTTGGTTTTGTTACTATAACTGAGTTTCATGTTGATTTTTAAGACCATTCCGGCTGGCTGGTGGTGACTTCTTATTCAAGAAATAGCCAGCCAGTTATATGCATATTGCTCTGCTCTATTGTACACCACTCCATTTGGCCCAATCTACGAATTGCATACCACCATAAATATTATTGGCAAACCGGACGCCTACCGTGAAGGCCATCGCAAGCGGTGGAACCTGCTTTGCGGCCGGTGAGGCTTCTACCAGACGCTCTAATCCATTAATGATTTGATAACGGGTGTTGGAAGATACCCCAAGGAAAACACCTGATTAAGATGGCAAACCATTGAGAAGGATGAGATCAACAAATAGCCACTCCTAAGTTTATGAATCTCTATGGTAATTGCTAAGTAAACTAGTTTTTTTCAACCGATTTTCAAACTAAGAATATGAATAAATGAACACTTTTCAGTTAATAATTAAACACATTCAAGGCTCAAATACTTCAAGCACTCCATGAAATAGTCGTAACGATTAACGGATGATTAAGAAGTATGAGATTGAAGTTAAAAGTTGGAATGTAAATATGTTTAGACGTACCCCAAAGAGCAGCACTTTTCACAAGAGGTGGTACAGGAATGTCCTCATCTGATTTCCTTATGTTCCTGATCATTTAAAAGATTTACACAGGAAATCGTTCAAAAAGAAATAACAAAAACAGTCAATACCATTGAAGTTTAGAGACAAATCACATTAAGAATCTCATTGTTAAGAAGTTTGCTAAATTACAAAAATAGGAAACAATTTGAAAGAATGAAAACGTCGTGATGGTGGTGGTGGTGGGGTAAGTCTATTCAAAGAGTGTGCATGAATGCAAATTAAATCATTGGATATATTTCCCGGCATGAATGCAAGACAGATCAAACAATAATTCCTCTCAGAGAATGCAGGTGCATTGACTCCGAAATTGGTTCTCATTATAGGATTATGTCAGTTTTGCCAGTTGTATGCCAAAACATTCCGACATTATAGATGAGCAGATAAATAGATGTACAGAAATGACCTCTATAAAAGAGTTATGAACTCGAATTAGTGGAAACACCAATTAGATCTCTTGCATATTGAATTCTAGCCTCAAATTATTTAAGAAACAAATTTTACCAGGAACAAACACTGAGAAGGTTTTCGAGATATAAACGGTGAACCATGAAAAGGTACATGAAGTATTGAGAGAATATTGTACCTTTTGGCAGTCATAATCAGATTTGCAATGCCTTGGCCAACAAGACCACAGCCGAACCCTACCGAGCCATACATACACCCTGGAGAAAATAAGCCAAGAAACAAACTAACAACATAAAATATGTCATCAATAACCTTTAAGAAAGAGGGAAATAAGGGATGCTACAGTAACAGCAGAAGATACAAGTAGAGGAACCGGATGAGGAAATGCAAAGTGCTTTGATCGTGCAAAAGAATAGACAACTATAGAACAATTATCTGAGGGCTAAACTAAATGCAATATCATATATAATCAGAAAATGGAGCAACATGACCTCCCTGCTTTGACATTTCCTCTAAAGTCATTCATTACTCAGCAGTACCTTATAAAAATATGTCGCAATCCGTTGTTTCACTGAAAATTTACAACCTGGTCTTTCTGCTTCAAAAACACTGTAAGAGTAGAATAGTGCAGATTGAGTTAAATTTTTCAACATTTTCTGACTACTTCAATCTGTGTAAAGTACAAGAAAAATTTGAAGTAGAGAGGAGAGAAGCAAAATGATATTTTATGTTATATCTAAAGAAAAAAGATCTTAAGCATGAAATATATCCTAGCATCAAACAGCGAGAATGTCAACCAATGACGAACAAACACAAAGGAACATTTTAAATTCAAAAATCAAAATAAGTGCTCAGATTTTCTTAAGACATAAGCTGTTGATATGTTACGAAGACCTGCTAGGAAGAGCAGCAGTAGCACGCTGTAAGATACCAAATAATCCTCTGGATGCAGATGGTTGACCAAACCGAGCATATGGTGCTAACATACCAACCAAAGCAATGTCAACCACTATACCGACCAAAAGGTCAGCAAGGTACAACTCAAACTCCGTCCAAAAATCCTTTCCCCTTTTCTGTATTTCCGCAAATGTTGCACAGCAAGAATCGATTACTATCTGCATCATGACATGTCAAACAAAGTGTGGAAAAATCAAAAGTGGAAAACTTAAGCACAACTAAATACTCAGCATAAACTGTAATAGACAGAAAACCACAAATACATGTTGCCAAACTACAGCAAGGCTAATCAGGCTAATTACAGCATAATGAGGAGACAGCAACCAAGTCATGTGGTTAATTTTAAAGGTCAATTGGTCAGTACACTCATAATTTTATAACATGGTTTCATATGACTTTCAGAAATCATTAACATTCATCTAATCCTATGAACAAACATAAAAATTAAGCACAAACCTCTGTTCCAACTTTGAAAAGAAATGAAGGATCTGCTAGCATTCTGTTCCGGAGCATAGAGCAGTATTTTATTAAAAAGCCAAGTGGCCAAACCGATCCCTGCCCATTTCAAAGGTCAAGAAATGAGAGCATAGAGCAGTTTGCTCTTATAAAAAGATTAAAACCAATTAACTACTGCAGATTTGAAACAAATATGGAGAAGGAAGGAAACGAACAAGAACCAACACATTCTAAGCCACTTTTATCCTTAATTTGTATTAGTATTTAATTGAATTAAACCGAATTTTAAAGTACTTTTTGGCTTTTGGCCCTAAAAATACTGCTATACTTGATTAAATACCATGATAAGTAATTGCACATTATCCAATTTCAAATGAAGCCAAATGCTCTATTTAGTTGCTTATGTAATCGAGTGTAGCAATTAGTTTCTCTATATTCCTTACAAAGATTCACACTTCTAATTCAGTCCATTTTTCATCCTTTTTTCTTAAAAAATGAACAAAATCAACGATCAAAAGGCAAAAGTTAGAGCTTTTAAAACCGACCTGCAAATCCAAGTAACGAAAAAGGAATAATTTCCGTAACCCATTACTTTTCGCAGCTTCAAGCATATCCGAAGGAAGCTCCACGCCTCTGGCTTTCGCTTCCTTCATCACATCCTCAAACTTCATGAGTGGTCCAAACTCACTTTCATCTCCACTGTCATCTTCATTGCCACCTTCACCACCGTCTCCGCCACCAAATGAGCCACCTCCTCCATTACCTCCGCCGCCTCCAAAGTTAACCTTCTGTTGATCACAGTTTCCAATCTCTATAACCCTAGACTCATCATCAAAATTACCTTTCCCCCCTTCCAATGAACTACTAGTTGTGTTCCCAGTAGAATCCGGCCTAACACAGTGAACAGCAAACGCGCGGTTCGTGAAAGTTAAACGGTGCGTATAGACTGATGCTGTTGAGGCTAATTTAAACCGAGATTCGAGATTATTAACCTCGTTGAAACAAACGAACGTTCTGGTTCTGACCCCCTTGATCGTCGTTAAATCGTTGCCGGGAAAAGTAGAGATTTTGTAGGTTGCGGCCGTTGAAATTGACATTTCCGAGATCAGCGAACGGAGATATAGAGCGTAAACACGTCGGCGAAGCTAAAATTGGAAGGGACAGAACTTGAAAGGACAAAATGAGGCTTTGGGGAATTTTGTGTTTGGCTTTTGAACTTTGGAATGAGGAGAGGGAGTGATGGAGTTATGCTCATGTACTACGCGGGTGGAAGGAGATGTTGACGTGGCAAAAAATTATTACGACTTGGCAATATTATTTTCTTAAAAAATAATCGGCCGAAAGGGACACAAATTATTTAACGTCGCCTGAGAAATTCGAACTCTCGCGGGTGAAACCTATGAAACCCATGAACTTAGCAGACACAAGCCTCAACCGCTAGGCTAAAGAGACATTCATTGAACAATTTAACATTTAAAGTTAATTATATTATAATATAGTTTACTGAGAATTTGAGAAAACTCTACTGATATAATATATAATTTTATGTAATGATTTTAGTGATTTCTAAAAAGTTTAAAATTAATTATATATATGTCATTGGATATTCAATTATGATTTATATAATTTTATAAAATTTGGAGTTATTGAAAGAACTTGAAACATCAGAAGGTTTTTTTTTTGTTAAGAAAAATATTTTTATTGAGATTGATTATAAATCACGTTAATGAAATAAGTATCAATAAAGAAGAATAATCTTTATAATAATGTAATAAGAAATTTAATTTGAAAAAATCATAATTAAAGTAATAGAATTATTATTCGCTGACATTACATATAAGAGTTCAAGTTCTGAATCACACGTTTACTCCATTAATCTAATCTACTACGACTAAAAACTACTGATACGAAGTTTTTAATGTTACATTAATGTGCTGAAGACACAAATTCATCAAACAGCATTGAATTACATAAAAGAAGGGATGAACAAGTAGCCTGGACATGAAATAAGCCTCCAACAGTAGGACAATTTTCTCAGTTAAGGGTCTTAGACTTTTATCAATATCTTAAACTGCGGTCACACTGCTCTTTACATTTTTCATGTGGAAACATTGGCTGATTGACCTCATATATATATATATCCAATATTTCAACTGTTAGGACTGTCGGAGCACCCCATGGCGCAACGGAAACAAAACTCGACGGTCTCATCAGCAATCAAAGTATTGAAAACCGAAATCGGGAAGAAATGATGTGAATACTTACAATAAGTTCCTTGAAAAACAACAAAGACAACAATGACTAAGGGTGATCACAAACGGTTCAAATTGTAAGCCTCCACGAAAATATGTCTCGGCCTCTACTTAGTTCACCCGATTGAGAGCAAAATTTAATTTTTCCCAAAAACAGTTTTGAGAAAAACGACTGAAGAAAAAAAATGGTTGCTAGACCATATCTCACTTTAAATATATCAATTATACTAACATATTAGGGATTTTAAGTTATTTCGAATTAATTAAAAATCTTATTTAATTAATTCAAATTAAATATCTATTAAAGACTTATAATCTGAATTACAATCTTTAAAGTTTATTTAAACTTTTATTTAATTATTCCAAATTAAATATCGATTAAAAGAGTTGTAATCAAAATTACATTCTTTTAATATTTACGTACTATATTCAAGATAATTATAATCATATATATATCAAATATACATATATTAACTCTAGATATATTTTAATAACATACAACAAATTGTACATCTTTGTTCATTTCAATCATAGGGTGTGACCCTATAGGTTCTTGTAACGTTAGTAATAATTATTAGAACAATTCTAATATTACATACAATGAGTGACATCTAGCAATATATCATTGTCACCTAAGTTAGAAGAAATTATGATTTGACATATCATTTTGTCATTTATATCTAAAATAGGCACAAGTCTTGGAATAGTCACACTTGTATAGCTCATTTATTGTTTCTTGATATCTAGAGAAGACTATAATTAACGAATAATTTGTGATATCTCATATTAACTTATTCGAGCATGGTCATGTATTTCTAGTCTCACTCAATCAAGTGGTATGTGATATATTTCCTATTATGTAGGAATGACAAACCCTATCTTAATCATACACACCCCACTACATATATCAAGATATCTTTAATAACAATCTTTATAGTGCAACCAGTTACGGAGCATGTTGAACTGTTTCAAAACATACAACAATATATGTTAGGATATCATTGATCTTAAGTCTGAGGATCATGCATATAGTAATCATCATGAGTAATGTTATGACCGTTACATAATAATCCAAGACATATGTTTATGGTGGGTCAATCTAATACATTGTTCTCTAACAATATAATTATGTATCAATTATGACATCTCTATGTCAATGACAACTCGTTGTCATCAATTAATAATAGAGAAAATAACCTCAGTGACCAAAAATCCCATATAATATACGATTTTAACCAACTTTTTACGGATTTGCCAAAATGACCAACAAAATCGCAATGCGATCGCTAATTCGCAACGCGATCTCCATGATCGCAAATTCGCGTTGCATTTTCGCAATGCGATAGTTGAAAATCGCGTTGCGATGGTCTACAGTATCGTTGCGATTTTCCCAATTCGCAATGCGAATAAGTAAATCGCAACGCGAATTGGGAAAATCGCAATGCGAATAAGTAAATCGCAACGCGAATTGGGAAAATCGCAATGCGATACTGACTATCGCAATGCGATAATAAAAAATCGCAACGAGATACTTACTTTCGCAATGCGATTTTCAAAGCGCCATTAGTATCCTGGCCAAGTATTTTATTTTTAAATTCCAAACATGAATATTAATATATTGGAACACTGAACTGTCCACAGTATATCCCGTAATCGCAACTCATAACCTAAAACCTAAAATCATAACTCAGTCCCATCTCCATCTCTCACTCTCTCACCCATCTCCGACGAAATCCGTCCCCATCTCCGGCGAAATCCGTCTATCTAAATCTCTCAGAGCCACCCTCACAATCAGAAATGGAAAATCAACCAAATCAACCAACGAGGGTTAGTTTTTTTAATTATTTTCTTTTTGAAATTTTTGCATTATTATTAGGTTTTTCATATTGAAATTGATGATAAGTTTACTGGTAATTTCAATAATAGATTAACCATTTCACTTAGATTGCTTATTAAATCAACCAAGAATCGCAACGCGAAATGTAAATCGCAACGCGATTTTAGTTTCGTGTTGCGATAGTCATTTTCGTGTTGCGATTTTCATTTTCAGAAACTATTCTTCTTCTGCAAATTGAAACTTGAATGAATTGCATTACTTCAACCAAAAAAAAAAAGACAAATACGAAATTCACAGTGTTGCATATTTAAGTTTGAAGAATAAACTACTACTATTTATGTTTATTATTGTTTTTGGTATATCTTCACAGTGTAGTTTTTGGTATATCTAATTTAGTATGTTTATTGTTTTTGTAGAACTTTTATTCGGTTCAATTGACCTTGAGAAATAAAGTCAGCCTGGCCAAAACAATTGCGTCGAAGCTTTCACCTGCACAAAGAAAAATGTTTGAGGATACATGCTTCGGGCCATGGCTGAAAGTACAACATCCCGGTGGAGATGCGATGTTGACACACCTGTTTCTTCAAACCATGACTAGAGATCTACCAGAGACTATACAACGTCGTGATGAAGAGATATGGTTTGATTTTCCACCAGCGTATACGTGTTTTGGGCGGGAGGAGTTTTGCTTAATCACCGGTCTACGCTTCGGACACGATGATGTAGGTCGGTACACTAGACACATTACCCGCCCATCATGGCTATCCCGGGTTTTTCCTGAGCTGGAGAGGCTGAGTCTACACGTAGAAGACCTGACAAGATTTTTGAATAATAAAGATGGTTTTACTCGGATGGATGACGTCGACGTTGTCCGAGTATGCCTTCTAATTCTTTTGCATGCCGGCTTTTTAGGCAGAGAGGCCAGACAACCTATTCCAAATGATCTAATCAAATTGGTAGAAGACCTAAATGCGTGGAACCTGTTTCCGTGGGGCTCGTATTTATGGAAAGCTACATGGAATAAGTTATCGTCTGCCTTGGATGATCGAAAAAGTTTGCATGGCGATGGTTCCAAATACACTTTGACAGGCTTTATTTGGGCCTTTAAGGTAAGAATTTTTATATAATGTTTCCAAAATTATAAGTAATTATTTAACAATTACTAATGTTTGTTATTATATTGTTTGTAGATTTGGATATTTGAGGTCTTTCCCGCCATGAAGACATATGCAATAAAAACTTCAAATAATATTCCCAGGGCTATTTCCTAGAAGAGGAAACGAACCTTGCAATGGGAAGATTTACTACGGTATACGACAATAAATAATGTAAGTTAACATAAATACTACCATATGTTTATAAACAAGTTATTACTAGTACACATTTAACTTTGTTTGAGCTTTTATATTGTTAGGAGGCCAACACTCCTCTACAGAGGCTGACACCCACGGAAGCTGAGCTTGCCACTGATTGGTGGCAAGCTAGTAAGCGTTTTTTTGATGGAACGGTTGATGAGCAGCCTCCACTTCGGGAGCCATCACCTCGCCCAGAGCTATCACCTCACCCAGAGCCATCATCTGATCGACCCGGCTATACACCTCCACAACGACAGCCATCACCTATTATGTCACATCATCAAGCCTCTTCTCCACCATCACCGCAAGATAGGCGACCGGCAAAGATGCCACGACGTTTATCTCCCTGTTCTCCACCTCCACCTCAACGGGATGAGTTAGGGGAGTTACGTGATGAGGTCAATGCCTTGCGTGAGGAGGTCGGTACTTTATGCAAAGACGATGGTGCATGGCGTGTTGAGGTGTCTACATTACGCGGTGAGGTAGCCGCTCTACGTGAGATGGTAGCATCGTTACAGAATGAGGTTCATACTCTACGTAACGAGGTAAGTTTAAGATTTTTCATACTCGTAATTCATTTGGTTGCTGCCAATCTGTTTTTGTTAGTATTTGTTTTTGGTTTTGTTTTTGTCTTTTGGTTGAAGTAATGCAATCCATTAAAGTTTCAATTTGCAGAAGAAGAATAGTTTACTTTCGCAACACGAAAATGACTATCGCAACGCGGAAATGGCTATCGCAATGCGAAATGAAAATCGCAACGACAAAATCG